AGGTAAAATATTTGTGTCTTGGATAGAAAATACATATTGAAGAAGATGCTCAACAATGGTTAGCGGCGGCAATGTGGCGCCCAGCGACGGTGATGATGTCAAGACCGGAGAAGTTTTAACTACTTTATACGGAGCATACAATAATCTTTGATTTTACTTTAAAATAATAATAAAAATATTACAGGTAAGCACAAGGTTTGCCATGTCATCCTATTTTTACCGGTAACCAATAAATAAGTTTTAAATGAACAATTTTATTAAGTTTAAAGTGTCATAAATAAGTGTCTAATTGTAATTTTTTAAAGTTGAAGGATTTAATTGCTTTTGTCTATAAAATTTGAGGGTCTATGTGACTCTTTTTCCAAAATAAAATAAAACTCTGACATATATAAGCCCTATTCAATACACTCCTAATTTAATTAAGCAATTTTTTATATTAAAAAAGCGCATATTCCGTTGGCGACAGAGAGAACCTTGAATCCTTGGATAATAATGTCGGAAGTTTGTTTCCACTACCTCTGCTAGAGATGTCACTAACAACAAAAGCCATAACTCTTTAGTTTGTTGTTTTGCATATGGTGGCATAATGCACTTTTTAACCTTTATATGCCGTCTAATTAACCACTTATAAGTACATCTTATTAAAGATTGAGGTGTCAAACAGACGGGTTAACTCGAAGTTCAATCCAAGTCGACCTATTTGGTCTGGGCTAGGGACGGGGCCAAAGGAGGGGCAAGGAGGCAACTGCCCCCCTCACCCCACCCCCACCCCCACCCCATATATAATATTTGTATGTATATATATAGTATAGGTTTTAGTATTAGTATAAAAAAAAACTAGTAAATATAAACACATAAGGACTTAGATTAGTTGGTAAAACATGCGTTTGTTAATAAGAAAGGTTTTGAGTTCAAATTCTTGTATTGATATAGTTTTACATATTTTTGAGTCCTTCCCCTAAGGCTTCAATACAATCACTTTTTAAATATTTAATACACACACACACATATATATAACATTCGTTTATATTAATAGTGAGATGTATAATTATAATGTGTTTTCTATTCGAATTATTTTATCAAATTAATTATGTTTCATATTTTGTTATGAATATTTTTATAAAGTTTCGATGTGTTTTATTTTTTCGCAAATATCTAACAATATTTACAATTATATTTCTTAGGTAATGGTAAAAAAAAAAAAAAAAAAAAAAAAAAAAAAAAAAAAAAAAAAAGTCTTAGGTAATTTTTCTTTAAATTATCTCTTTTGTTTTAATGTTTCGCTTTTACTGGAAAAAATTTCTGAATCCGTCTTACTTCTTCGCCTCTCCTCAATCGAATTTCTGGGTCCGTCCCTAGTCCGAGCCATGGTAGTTCATTTACTACCACAGACAGACATGGGCTAACTTATTTTATATTATAGATAAGGCTGGATTTTAATTTATGATTCATGGACCGAGACAACTCAGCCTAGCTCGTTGACCCGTACAGTTTTTTAAAGATATAATATACATATCTATATATCTATATAAAAATAAATTGTTCTCTCATAAGAAGAAAAAACCAATTTCCTGCCTAAATACTCTTTTCGAAATAGGAGTATTTTTAATTTAGCCAATACGGTAGATATAAATTTTGTTCAGTTCTAAAAAAACTGGGCATTGGAACCCAGAAATGCTTGAGCATCTCCCATTGTTTAGTTTAGGAAACCAACTAGGAGAAAGAGAAAAATGAAGGAGAAAAAGAAAAGGAAAAAAATATTGACAATTAAAAAAAGGAGAGAGAAATCAATGATAAAATGTCAGAGTGGACGTTAGCTAGCGACTGCTCTTACACGCCCCACACATGGGGAATATGTGACGGTTGGGGCATGCTGTGCGCTCCAATTGCGCAAGATGAGTTTTATTTTTCTTTTCCTGCAAATATCATGTATTTGTATAAGAAAAAGAACTTTAAAAATCAGTGTTCCCATCAATTTTATTCTCATTTAACCAATTACAACTGCTACCTAAAAGGATTGACTGGTCTTGTTGGACCCAAGCCACGTATGCCGGATTCGGGGTGGAGGTGGATGGCGCGCCACCGGAGTCCCCGTCACTGGAGCCGGTGGTGGTGAGGACGGCCGATGGGCACGACAGTTCTCCGTCGACATATCCAAGAAGCCCTTGCCCGCGGAGGAACGGAATTAATTGGGTGTGTTGGAACAAAAAATTTCGAGTAGTGAGCTTGAGTGAGACAAAATGATGGGCTGTGGATAGGGAATTCGTGGAGGTGGCCGGAGTCTGTACGGTGGCGGCGGTCACCATACGCTCGGAGGAGTGAGTCGATATTGACGCTTGGGGAGAGAGAATAGAGAGACCTAACGCTAAACTGATATTACTAACAACAAGTTCATGTTGTCTACTTGGCTATCCCCAATAATAATTTTATTAGGGTTTTTGAGAAAAAGATAGATGATGTGGGAGATAGAGTGTGAAAAGAGAGAATGAGTGAGGTTCTCTTGCAAATATGAACACTAGTACAAAAAATTCTTTCCGTGTCACCTATAAAACACTTTCCGAGTCACTTTTACAAGTGACTTGGATTTTGGTGACTCTGAAAGTGGGTAACATTCTGAGACACTCGTGTAGGGTGTCGCGGAAAGCTGACCAAGAAATTTTTATTTTTTTTATACAGACTTTCCGAGGCACCTGCTCCGCTGCAGGTGCCTCGAAAAGTCTTTTAATTTTTTTTTTATTATTAATTAATATCCACGACACCCAATCACAAGTGGGTGTCGCTAAAAGTCATTTTTTAATACTTTTTTTTTCCTGCGGCAGGGTGACGCGAAAATATTTTTTAATTAAAACAAAAAAATATTATAATAATTACTAACCATTACAATCCGCGGTAATTTCAGCAAGGTTTACCATAGTCATTACAATAATTAACCATAATAAAAATATTATTACAATAATTACAATATTCACAATAAAAATATTATGGAGTATTACAATAATATTAACCACAAGATTTCGAAAGTCGTCATTTGAGGCAAAAATGCTTCCTAGCAGCTGAGCTCAGTCTGTTCATACACACCCAACAAAGCCTACACAAGGCATAAATAGGATAGCTAAATAACTAATTCAAAGCTGTGTGAATATCAATGTAAAATTAACAAATATGTATTAGGGATAAAATTTAACAAAAAATGTTAAAACCTAAAATTTGACGAAAGTGAAGGTGGATGATACGTATGCGGTAATTACTTGTGTTGATTATGAAAGATTCGAAGGGTTCGTTGGAGGTCAATTGAATTTGATCGGAGAAGGAGAATTTAAAGAAAGGAAAGATTGTTGTTCATGTTATGGACGGTGTGTTAATGGATGCCGAGTTTGAGCAATCTGTTTGTCTAGATTTTAGTGATGGATATGGCGGCGACTGGGTTGGGCATACGACAGTGAGATTGATACTTGACGGTGTTGGAGTTGTGCAATGCTCACTTTTCTCATTTCAGTTGAAACATTACAGTTGCAACTTGCAAGTGCCGACAAGAAAGAGTGAGTGACATGGGGAGGTTGAAGATGAATATTGAGGTTGAAGAGAGAGAATCAATCATTCAATTGCAGAGTATTTTGCATTTATTTTAGATAAATATTACTTGCCACATCATCTTAACCTGAAGCCAAATCATCAATACTAGAGAGAGACATGGAGAAAATACTAAATAAAAGAAATTTTGAGAGTTAATAAGCCCGAGGTGTGAATTGAATACTTAGGAATAGTAGATGTGTTTATTTGACCCTTCTGTAGTGAATAAAATAATAGATAATGTGTAAGAGTTTGAATGAGTAGGGCCTACAAAAAAAAAAAAAAAAAAAAAAAAAAAAAAGGAAGACAAAGAAAGAAGGATTTAGAAAGAAAATATGAGAAAAAATTATAAGGTGATATAGACGAGTTAGTTAGACCCACAATTTGGAGAGAAAATGGGAGAATCAATTGTGCATGCCCTTATAAATGTCTACTTACATATTAAATGGTATTGATCTAAAATTTGAATTTTGCATTTTTTCTGTACAGATAAATTTTACCTGGAAAATCTAAATAGCCATCATTTTAAAAGTCCTTGAATTGGGTGGTGCACAATGAATGGGAAACCGCCCATTGGGCAGCTTAACATTATATAATATTGTGTCTCCTTTATTTTTCTCTTTCAATTATTTATTTTTTTGCTTTCTCATATTTCAGTTCTCATCTAGTCAGTCATATTGGCCCGCCAACTGACTACACCGGTAATCATAAAACCAACACGAAGCATGAGAGCAAAAACTTGAAGATGGTGAATGAGCTTTGATTTGGCTTACGAGAGGAGTCCAATGTGGCAGGTAGAGGGAATGAAATGCTTGAAGATAGGAGCATGGCAACTGACTCTCCTTTTGTGCTCCATTTAAAGCCTGTTCATGTTTCTTATATTCCTTAAAGCTGCGTAGAAGAGAGCAACAAATTTGCTTCTAAAGCATTCAAAAAAAAGGTTCAGTGTGCCCATATGGATCCACGTACAAAGTCAAGGAAGTGATTCTTACTCATAAATGTCATACAGAAAGGTTATTTGTTTTATATATCATTTTCTATAAGCTTTTAATAAACTCAAATTATCATCTTAATAGCAGATGAATAAAAAAGAAATATTATGCAGAGAGGCAGATAGCATGAAGCACAAACAAAAATGTGAAAGGAGAAGCGCAAATAAATAAGAAACATAACCCAAAACAAATTATGAAGTACTATACTTCTAGAATATGTAAGGAACAAAGCCAAATAAATATAAAACATAAACTAATGAACTATTTCTGCAGCATCTATGAGTATGTCTTGTAATTTTTAAGCAATATGTAGACTACCATATTACTCAGACCAGCGTATTCTCTACTGTACTGAATTCAAATTGTTTCAAGCTGCTTCAATATTAGGAAAAGCTAAGCAACGTAACCTAATAGCTCACATAATTTCAAAGTTGAGAAACCAATTAAAACACAAACCATTGATCTTTAGTTTGCTGGTCGAACTTCAATGCCCTTAACCACAAAGCCAGACAACCAGTACTGATCTGATACATGCCACAGTTGAAATTCAACCTCACCTTCATTCCCACTACTAACGTAAAAGTCTCCAAGCTTGATCTCCATCCACCCATCAGAACGGTCGTCGTTGGGAAACTGACCGCAATCTCCATAAGACTTTGTCTTTGCTAAAAAGACCTGAGAGTTCCGATTCTGCCCGCGCAACTTACCGTATAGGTTCTTGTCCTTTGCATATCTTACACATGTGAGTGCTGTGTTGACATCCTTAAAGCCTCCCTGTACAAGTTTGAATACAAGATATGCAGAGTAACAAGTCATCTTTGATAGGCACCGAATGTCACAGGTAAATCCGATTTCAAACCAGCTCATTTGCAAAAGTTCTGCAACCTCATACCTACACGCGCGCAATTAACCATCTTTAATTTATATAGAGGAGCAGTATAATATATACTTAGCTTTAATTGTTATTCTAGTTAATTAAAATTTGTCCTGATAGATTTGCATACCCAGTAGGGTCCAAAGTCCATGACCAATAACTAGGTTCTTCGCCACCGGGAATCGTTAGCTTCCTTGCTTCAAACCAAAGGCTCTACATAAAACGTAACAGCCAAGGTTAATGTTTAAATGTGATCAATATCTCATGTGAAAATTAAAGACAAATACTTCAAAAATAAGTAAATAAAAGTTTGACTCATTTTTTTTTTTCATAAACGATAATGACATTTCCATGTAAGATTCTCAACTTCTAAACTTGAAAATATTTAAACAGATAAAACAGAGAAGAGTTAATTCTAGCGTCAATCACTTGTCTTTTAATTCGTGTTAATTCTAAATTTAGTTTTAAACTATCATATTTGACATTTAACACCTCAAACTAGAGATGGCCAAAGTGCGGGTTTGGGCCGATCCAGGGCCAAGACTAGCACAGACTGGGGCCGACCCTGAATTACTTGGGTCGGTCCCGTGCCGAGTCTACCCCAGGACTATGGTCACGTGTCTCTTGTGGGACGATCTTGGACTTGCCCTTGAATTTTTATTATTATTATTATTATTATTATTATTATTTTTTATATAAAATAATTAAACTTAAAAAAAAAAAGATTTTACCCACTTACATAATAGTTAAAAATCAAAGTTATATCTAATTGAGGGCACTTCATGATATATAAACGTTAAGATTCATACATATCATCATCAATATTTTAGAGGAATCTAAACTCACATAGCTGTAATTATGCTAGCGTCACTAGTTTGCTTACTATTATACAAAGTATGTAGTTATTACCTCATGATATAGAGCAATTTCACATAACACTTTACATATAAAATTCCACTGAATAGGTGTATATAAACTATAATGGCCCTGTTTGGTAAAATAGTTAGCCTATAGACAAATTTTAACTTATTTGACCGCTATTAGCTGTTTGCTTTGGTTAAAAATCAATATAAGTGTTTGGTTAATTAGCTTTTTGTAACTTCAAAAGGCTAAAATTCAAAAAGCTGCTCAAAACAACTTTTTCAATTAACTTTTTGAGTAAAGAAATTACACCAAACAGCTATCAGCTAACAACTAATTTACCAAACACCTTTCTACAATCAGTTAATGTTATCAACTAGTTATATCCTCTAATTAACCCACTCAGCTAACAGCTATCAGCTATCAGCCATTTACCAAACAGGGCCAATGTCTTTTTTTTTTTTTTTTTCCTTAACCATGTGCACACAATATTTTAAAATCAATTTCTCTTTTCTATTGTATCTAAGTCATTTAGTACATTTTCTAATTGGTTCAACAAAATCACTCAAACTTTGATGTCCTTATTGAACACATAAATTTAGAACATGAGTGCAATAATTGACCATTAACAACTAAATGTATGCTTTTATGTAAATTATATTATCTATAGATCTAGTATTGAAAGAAACATTGTCTTAAAAAAATTAAAAATACTTTATTTATTAATTCAAACACATCCGGACCAAAGCCCGAGTATGGGTTCAGGCCTAATCCGTGTCTGGGCCGGTTACAGGCCTAAGCCATGCCTGTACTCGATCCTGGGCTTGTTTTGAGTTAGGTCCCATGTTTTTTTTTTTGTAATATGACCTGAGCCGGACATTTATTAGCCGGTCCCGGTCCGGGCTAGACCTGACCTAGGCCTGGTGAAACACAGTTCCAACTTTTTCTAGAACGATTCGAGGCTGGTTCGGTCCTGAACCGGCCTGTGGCCACCTCTACCCCAAACTTGACACATTTGGTCTTTTTTATGACTTTTTTGGTGTAACTCTATTTTAGGCAATGGTATTTTTGTCTCTTTAATTTTTTTCGTAATTAATTAATTACAACGGAGTTCGTTTGTCTTTGGTGTCACTTCCAAATTTAGTCCTAGACAATAGTTTTTCCCATCTAACACTCAGACTATCATATTGTGGGCATTTTTGGTCGTTCAGATGACTTTTCTTGTAAACCCTATTTTAGAAAAGCGTATTTTCCGATGACAAATAAGAGACTTATTTCTTTGTTTTTTTTTTTCTTTTTGCTCTACAGCTATAGTAGATGATTCACAGAACTGTGGACTAAAACATTTTGATTTGAAAATATTAAATTTTCCCTCAAAAGTATTATATTTTCCCCTTATGAGTAACAAACACTTGTCAGCATTACTTATAATGAAAAATGTAATATTTCGATAGAAAATATTATACTTTTACAACAAAATGTAAATGTATTACATTTTTTTTCTTCTCAAAAGTATTATATTTTATAAGTAACCAACACTTTGTTTCTTATTAGTATTACATTTGAGCATATAAGTATGACATTTGCATGTTAATTATCCCAATCAATCTGACCTATCTCACAAATAAGAATTCATGACACAATCTCACACCATGTCACTATAATTGATATATAAAAAATGATATATATAAACTCATAAAGTGCACACAATATAAGGCAAATATGAGATAACTTACTGTTAAACTATTGGGGGCACATTCTTCTCCAGAGATTTGTTCATTAGAATATTCTTCTTCTACTCCAACATGGTCCTCGTCTAGTATTTTATCATAAAAATGAAATATTAAAAGTAGAGAATAGTAGACGAAAGAAAGATGGAAAAGAATTATTTAAGAAACACATACACACACACACACATATATATATACCTGGTCGAGTATGGAAGTGAAGAACATGTAACATGTCATTCCCGTAATTGTGAAGTTGATCTTCTTTAACAGTCATAGCGGAAGTAACGAGGGTGGAATAACAATACTCCAACTTAATTAACTGGAGAGTGATGATATCTGCAATCCACTCTGGCATCTCTTTCAACTCGAAGCAATTTCTTAAGTGCAAGTGCTCAAGATTGGGAAAAGGAGAGGCCACGTATGCCTTCCACTCCTTCAAATTTGTGAGAGAAATGAGCAAAACCTTTAACTGAGGGAAGCTGCCATCTTCAATTAGTTCCCACTCTTGTCCCACACAGGCAAAGTTTTTGAGCTTAAGCACCTTCAGATTGGGTAGCAAGCTAATAATAGTCATAGCTTCCCATGGTATAAGGGTTCTCTCAAATGTCAACTCCTTGAGGTTTTGTGGGAAAAGAGGAGGCAAGTGTAAAGGGTGGTAAGAGCCTCGAACTCTTAGCTTCTCAAGATGATTTAAACACCACAGATCATTTAAACCCTGTGATGACACTTGGCATCTTGCAAAAATTATTCCCAAATCTTTAACATTTGGAATTCTCATAAACACTTGTATTGTACACTGTGAGGTAGACAACCAATAAAGTGTCTGCAAATTTTCTTGAACCATTTTTGGAAGATAAATAGGAACCTGATGGTTGATTTCAAGATGCCTTAGTTGTGGCAGGTCCCAAATTCCAGGAGGCAGCCTGCGGGCACCATTGTCATCTTCTGTGACAACTAGTGTCTGTAGATTCCAATTCTTCCACAAAGGTATACAGTTTAGAACCTTACTTGAGGCTATTTCTAGGTACCTTAGGAAAACAAGATCTGTAATATCTGGAGGCATACCTAACCTGAAGTTAATCTTGCTCAAGTCTAACACTCTTAACTTCTTAAAAGAGTTGGCATGCAAATACCATTCATAATCACAGTTTCCAACCATATTAAAACATAAAATGGTACGACATTTCCTGGAAGCAATGGCCAAATGAAAATGTGGGTTTACTACTTTAAGACTTAACCAAGGCTTATCACCTAATCGAACCAAGCGATCAAAACCATGACAACTACCCGTAGTTTCAAGGTACAAAAGGTTCTCTTTCTTAGCCTTGCTCACACACAACTCACGTAAGAGATCATGCATCCTACAAGTCTTGATTTTATGATCAGAGCTTCTCCCATGAACCATAACTAGACATCTGTCAATAAGATCTTGCAAATAATTTCCACCTACTTCTTCTAGCCTCCTATTACTCATTGTCTCTACAAATCCCTCAGCAATCCATAACCTAATAAGCTTTTTAACTGGAATATCACAATCTTCATGATAAATTCCCAAATACAAAAAGCAACCCTTCAAGTGGCTAGGCATGTTGTTATAACTCAATTCAAGTATTCTTGAAAATTGTTGATCATGGTCTAAAGTCTGGAGTGAATTTATTGTAGCTTCAATTTTTTTCCATTCATCTACTGACTTATTGATAGTAGATAGAAGCCCTGCTGCCACCACAATTGTAATCGGTAAACCATGACATTTCTGAACAATGTTTTTCCCAATTGTCTCAAATTCATTGTTCAGAAATTCCTTATCCAAAAGCTTCTGATAAAATAAATCCCAACCTTCATACGGATTTAAGAAACGCAAGTTATAAGAATACTCACCAGAATTGGCATACTCGGCTATCTCTCTAACCCGAGTAGTCAACAATATTCGGCTACCATTGTTGTCATCTGGAAAACATCTCTGGATATCGTCCCAAGCTTTCGTAGTCCATATGTCGTCGAGAACAATAAGGTACCTCTGGCCCAATAAACTTCTGCGCAGTAGGTCGTCTGGATCATCACTTACTATATTCTTGTTGCTCATTGGCAAGATGCAACGAATGAGGTCAGTAAGAGCTTGTCGTTTGTCATGCTCTTGGGACAACGTTGTCCAAGCACGAAACTTGAAATGAGATGTGACTAGAGGGTCATTATAAATCCTTTTAGCAAAAGTTGTCTTGCCGATGCCACCCATGCCAACCATAGCCATTACTTGGCGTTGTTTAAGCGAGTCACGAAAGAGCTGAGACTTCACCTCATCCAGTTCTTCTGAGTGTCCTACCATTGCATTGTCCTCCACATTTGAGGTAGGTTGAGAGGGACCTCCAGCTGTGAGATTGTTGACAATTAGGTGGTGGTTGGTGTTCCTTGTAGTCTGCATCAGCTCTTCAATGTCCTCAACAACACGCTGCAAAGCTTGATCCAGATTGTGATAATGATGAACATTCAATAGCTCTGCTTCAATGTCATCTTCAGCCTTCACACTCACTTTTCTAATTTTTTCGGCCAGCTCTTTCATCTCAGCGCAGTTGTTGCCTTTCTTCTCGCATTCCTCGAGATAAACTAGCAAATGCCCAAGTTTTTCATGAAGAGACTTAATCTGCGCTTTGTTTGTAAGAATAACGCGTGGTTGGGGGTGTAGGAACTGGAGCTCTACAGTTCTCATCAGAGATGTTACTGCTAGAAAAGCCATAACTGATGTGTATGTGTGCTGTGGTGAATGGTATAATGCACTTATTGCTCAGTCGTTACTGCAAGAAAAGCTCTAATCTTGGAGTTAGAATTTAATTAGAAACATGTATGGAGAAATTAAAAGGCTCAAGAATATTATATTGAAAGGCTGCATTGGATCCCCTTTACGTATAAGAAATTTTAGATTTGACCGATAGACTGATTGTACCACTCTAGAAGTGGAATCTTGTAGGTTTAGAATGAGTTTGGCAAAATTGTGATCGCCTAATAAGTTAAAAAATAAAAAAATAAAAACTCTGATATATATAATCCCTAATATTCAATACACTCCTAATTTAATTAAGCAATTTTTTGTATTAAAAAAGCGCCGATTCCATTGGCGACAGAGAGAACCTTGCATCCTTCGATAATAATGTCGGAAGTTTGTTTCCACTACCTCTGCTAGAGATGTCACTAACAACAAAAGCCATAACTCTTTAGTTTGTTGTTTTGCATATGGTGGCATAATGCACTTTTTAACCTTTATATACCGTCTAATTAACCACTTATTATAAGTACTAGTTTTTTACGCGCTTTGCGCGAATGTGATAATGCCCAATAATTATTTTTAAATAAGTATTTCAAAGTATATCAATGCTGTTCAAAAAAAAAAAAAAGTATATCAATGCAATATTATATATGAGATTTCATGCATAGGTAAATAAATGTTGAATTTGTTTATTTAAATCGGTAATTTAAAGTATATAAATGCAAGATAATATATGAGAGATTGATTATAATTGTCAGTAAAATAAATGTTTGCAACTTTGTAATAACGCTAGTCTAAATAAATACGGAGTGCTACTTTTGATTTAAATTTCTCTAATTCTTCTTAATTCTCTTTTGGGTAGCATTATCATTATCTTCATCTTCAATACATGTCTTCTTTTTTATTTTTGTTTTTTTTTTATTGGTAGTGTGTCATGTGCAATTGGGTTACTGGTGGTAGCACAAACAATCATTATGCTGTGGAACTGTGTCCACCTTGCAATGTGGACACGGTTCTATGTTCATAATTATAAAATTATGTATTCATAATTTTTTAACTTCATATTCATAATTATTGAACTCTATATTTACAATTACGGAACTCTATGTTCATAATTACTGAATTATATGTGCACAATTATAAATTTATATATTCATAATTTTTGAACTTCATATTCACAATTATTCAATCTCTATATTCATAATTACAGAACTATATGTTCATAATTATAGAACTATATGTTCATAATTTTTGAACTATATATTCATAATTATGAACAGTTTTGGAACCGTGTCCACCTTGCAAGGTGGACACGGTTCCACAACATAATTTGCACAGCATATACATCGTGCAATAAGATTATAGTGTAGGAAGATTTAGATTTGTCTTGCTGTATATATGACTGTGATTTTAGTTGTACTATGAGCTCTTTATCTTACAAGAACCTATTGATATTTGGTAGTGGTAGTTTTTCCCCAACATGTTTCATGTGTTGTGAGATGTGTATCGTAGGTTATCATGTGAAAGTATTGAACAAAATATTAATATTTATTATATTTGTATAAAATACTTGATAAATAAATATATATAACATATTTTGTATTATAACTTTGATATTTAATTACAAGATAATGTAAAAAGAAGACAATAATAGACAATGTAGTGAATATAATAAATTAATTAATTTAAAGGTAAGTAATCTTTGAATTGTAGGAAGTACATATAATATAACTAATGAAATTATATCTCTTTTTAAAATTTTTATAATGAATATTTTTTAAAAAATAAAGATATTATAGACATTTAATTCTAAATTAATTAAATGCATATGTATTATTTTTTTTGTTGTAGCTACTAATTTTGTTCAACAATAATGAAATCATTGATTTTTTTTTTTTTAATTTTCATTCGTTGTTGAGACAAATTATTTTGAGAGTGTGTCAATGACAATTGCTACAATTGCTTTCAATTACTAATAAATAATTCAAAATATATGGTCACAATAGATATTATTATAATGATATAGTAAAAATTAAATTAACTTACAAATTTCTTTATAAATTTTTATGCATTGATAATATTTTGATGTGTAAAGTTATTCAATTGGGGCCAGTGTGATGTCAACATTGTCAATTCTTTAAAAAATGGTCGTACCGTTTTAGAGTCCAAGAGTAATTGTATTTATGATCAACAACTTTGTAGTTAGGTCGCGCAGGTCTGACAATGATGTAAGAACAATTTTGTCTGATAAAAGAAATAATAGTATAATATTTGTAAAGTAATGTATAATTGTACCATTATAAAATTACATACAAAAAATATTAATACCATAATAACCTAAATCATTCCATTAATGGAAAAGCATAATTGAAAAAGAAAAAAAAAAAAAAAACTTAACCTACTTTTTTTTTTTTTAAATGCAAGAAAATCAAATTATTTTTAAAGTTCTTTGATTTATAATCATTGATGTTCAACTTTGAATGCTATGTATTTAGTCGGGCTAATTATTTGACCAAAATTTATGTTAAATTTTATATTATATATATATATATATATATATATATATATATATATATATATATTAATACGTTTTAAAATATTCATAGTATATGTTTAACAATTATGCTAACTCTAATTGGGATGAGGTTCGAACCTAAGACCTTTTTATAGAAATTAATGAGTATGTTAAGAATAATAAATAGTAAACGGAATATTCCGTTACTAATGTTTATACTAACGGAATTTAGGGTTATTTAAGGGAAGAAAATAATATAATAGAGGGTAAATAAGAAAAATCATTAAATAATTCTAAAATCAAAATAATATGAACCATTCATTTTAAGAAACAAGCGTACCGACATTTTTTTGTTCCAGTTAAGGGTCTAACATTATTGGCTCTTATTAGATTTGTATATATTTGTATGTAGATATGAACTCTTTAGCGTACAAACACCTATGATATTTAGTAGTGGTAGTTTTTTCTCTACATGTTTCATGTGTTGTGAGATGTGTGTCGTAGGTTATCATGTGAAAGTATTGAACAAAATATTAATATTTATTATATTTGTATAAAATACTTGGTAAACAAATAAATAAATAAATAAATATATATATATATATATATATATATATATATATATATATATATATATATATATATATATATATATAACATGTTTTGTATTATAACTTTGATATTTAATTACAAGATAATGTAAAAAAGAAGACAATGAACAATGTAGTGAATATAATAAATTAATAAATTTGAAGGTAAGGAATCTTTGAATGGTAGAAAATAAAGATAATATAACTAAAGAAATTACATTTCTTTTAAATTTTTTTATAATGAATAATTTTTTTTTAAAAAAAATAAAGCATTATAAATATCTAATTCTAAATTAATTAAATGCATATGTATTATTTTTTGTTGTAGCTACTAATTTATTTAATTAATAAGAGTAATAAAGTGTGGTACATACTTTTCTTCAACAATAATGAAATCAATGATTTTTTTTTAATTTTTATTCCTTGTTGAGACAAATTGTTTTGAGTGTTTGTCCATAACAATTGCTACAATTGCTGTCAATAGAGGATGATAATAAATAATTCAAAATATATGGTTACAATAGATATTAATATAATGATATAGTAAAAATTAACTTACAAATTTCTTTAGAAGTTTTCATGCATTGATAAAATTTTGATGTGTAAACTTGTTCAATTGAAGCTAGTAGGATGTTAACATTGTCAATTATTTGAAAAATGATCATACTGTTTTAGAGTCCATGTGTAATTGTATTTATGATCAACAACTTTGTAGTTAGGCCGCGTAGGTCTGACAATGATGTAAGAACAATTTTGTCTGATAAAAAATATATTTGTAAAGTAATAATGTACAATTGTACCATTATAAAAAAATAAAAAAAATATTAATAACATAATAACCTAAATCATTCAAATAATAAAAAAGCATAATTGAAATATTAAGTTTTGTTCTAAATAATCGGAAGAAGGTTAATTAAACAAAAAAAACTTAACCTAAATTTTTTTTAAATAAAAAATTTAAGAAAATCAAATGATTTTAAAGTAGTTCCTGATTTATAATCTTTGATGCTCAACTTTGAATGCTATGTATTTAGTCGAGCTAATTATTTGATCAAAATTTATGTTAAATTTTATATTATATATTTTTTTAATACATTTTAACATATTCATAATATATGTTTAACAATTATGCCAACTATACTTGGGATGAGGTTCGAACCTAAGACCTTATATAAATTAAGAGTATGATAAGAATAATAAATAGTTAACGGAATATTCCGTTACTAAAGTTTAAACTAACGGAATTTAGGGTTATTTAGGGGAAGAAAATAATATAATAGAGGTTAAATAAGGAAAATCATTAAAAGATACTAAAATCAAAATAATATGAACCATTCATTTTAAGAAACAATTAGTACCGACATTTTTTTTTGTTCCAGTTAAGGGCCTAACATTATTCGCTCTTATTAGATTTGTAGACATCTTATTAAAGATTGAGGTGTCAAACAGACGGGTTAACTCGAAGTTCAATCCAAGTCAACCTGTTTGGTCCGGGCCATGGTAGTTCATTTACTACCATAGACAGACACGGGCTAACTTATTTTATATTATAGATAAGGCCGGATTTTAATTTATGATTCATGGATTAAGACAATTAAGCCTAGCTCGTTGACCCGTTCAGTTTTTTAAAGATATAATATACATATCTATATATCTATATATATCTATATAAAAATAAAATGTTCTATCATAAGAAGAAAAAACCAATTTCCTGCCTAAATACTCTTTTCGAAATAGGAGTATTTTTAATTTAGCCAATAGGATAGATATAAATTTTGTTCAGTTCTAAAAAAATTGGGCATTGGAACCCAGAAATGCTTGAGCATCTCCCATTGTTTAGTTTAGGAAGCCAACTAGGAGAACGAGAAAAATGAAAGAGAAAA